TGTGTGTGTGTGTGTGTGTGTGTGTAAAAGCAGCTTCATCCAGGAGTCGTTGAAAATGTTTTCCCCTCTCTGAGCACTGGGTGTCTCTGTTGTAACGTCTCTCGCTCGCTCGGGGAGCTCAGGTGTTCGGTGTCAGGAGGTTGTTACCAGGGCGCCGAGCGGGCGGCTCTGCCTCGGTTTGTCAGAGCATCAGTGCCGGTGACATATTGAAATGATTCTGTGACTCTGCCTCTTCATGTCACTCACTGTTATCCGTCAATAAAGGCAGAGGAATGAAGCCATCTGCTCCCTCGTCTTTTCTCAGGGACGACAGAGACTGATGCTCTCTCCCTGTCCATCCCTCTCTCTCACACACACTCACACACTCATATGGATGAATTGAGTTTCCTCATCCTCCCTCTTTTTTTTTGAAGGACCTTATTAAAGCCAGGTCACTCTCTGTGCCTCGTCTCTCCGACGTCCTCCCTTGCTTCACCTTTTATTTGAGTCCTCTGTCTTCCCTCTGTTTTTCTTCGCAGGTCTGCAGAGGTTTTGCGAGGACATTGAAATGATGATTGGTTTCCAGCCAAACCGATTCTGGAGACTCTGCTGGGCCTTCGTGACTCCAACCATTCTGACGGTGTGTTTGTTTTGGCCCATCTCTCACACACACACACACACACAAACAAACACACACACACACACACACACACACACACACACACGGACATGTGCAGCTTCCATTTTCACTGTCGCCTTTCAAGTTCATTGATTCGCCAGTGGAAAGGAACAGGGGGAGAAATTGCTCCTGTTTTCACTGAAATAGAAAATTATTTTTTTTTTCCTTCCAATTCCCGTCGTGTCATCAAGTCTCAAGTTGTTTTTCACAAGAGTCGCTGCCAAATCGTCCATCTTTCGTCAGTTCAGCTGCGGCAAACACATGCATCCATTTCCCGGAGAGAATAGTGTTTATGTGTAAAACGGCCACTTCTTTGTGTCTTGCTGAAGCTGTGAAATCCACTGCACCTTGTTTACCAGCATGTCAGCGTTGGGCCCCGGCAGACATTAATGTTGGTAATTGTAATGGAATCCACTGTAGCTCCAAAAGCAGAGGTGACAATGACAAATGGAGAATCCTGCTGCTCTCGAGGGACGTCAGATTTCCTCATTCAGAGCTCATTGATGCACTACGCCAGGCTAATCTATTTCTGTCTGACTCCTTTTTCTGTTTGTTTTCCCTTTCTTCCTCTTATTCTCAGTCCCTCTCAAACAGATTTGCTGCAAAAGTGGGAATGTATTTTCGGCTCGATACCTTTTTAGTGCCTTTGTTGAGCACATGGTGAAAAAGGAGCGTCTCATTTTCATCATCCATCCTCTTCTTCAGCAGCTTTAGGCACGTGTGCCGAGATCAGTGCAGCTAATTTGGAATAAATGTGCTGCACAGTCCTCGTTCAGTGCAGAGAATCATTACAATGCAGCAACACTGGGCTGCAGCATTATTTCACTTTCATTTGTATTCATACTGGTGAGAGTTTGCATCTGAAGGAAACTGAAGTCGCAAATCCTCATCAAGTTTTTTTTATCTATTTAGTTAAAAATCAGTTTTGATGATCCTTCAAATGAAGAATTGGGGCTTTGTCTTTCACGACTTGTATTAAATTCTCCAGCAAGATTTTTTACAGTACAGAAATAATAACCTTCAAAGATAGTACTGGGATGAAGTTCCAAAAACCCACAAAGTTTTTTTTTCTCATACCTGTGGGAATACAAAATTGGCACATGTACTTGTTGTGTAAGGTGCATGAAGTTGCAAAACAACTTGCAGACTTTTGGAAAATCAATCTGCAAAGTAAGAAAAAGTTGGATTCCAGAATGCGAGGTCATCAGATTCTCTGCAGCTTGACAGTGACCTGCTGACACAAAACTTACAAGATGTTCTTTGTTTGAAGAAACTTCCTTTGCAAATATTTTTAGTTTGTACAGTTGTACTGCAGATTTTGCTTTATACAGTGTTTTACACAGTAGAAGTCATATCTTAACGTACACAAGGACCCTGTTTACATTAAACTGCAGAGGGACAAAAGTTCTGCTTGTGATAAATATGCTTTTTATGAACAATGTGAATATATTTCAAAACAAATCTGCATTTTGCCTTTTTTTGTACCTTTGGTGCAAAGCAGCAAAATCACAGCCTTACTGCTGTACCTGTGGCCACTGAGGAGAAGCTGCAGTGACTTGCTCAAGGACACTGCGGCAGTGGGCATCTCGTTTAAAGTACCTTTCTTTTATCCCCTGGCCTGTGCAGGGCATCCTGGTGCTGAGTCTGTACCAGTGGAAGGGGATGACGTATGAGGACTACACTTACCCCAACTGGTCCATGGTTATGGGCTGGCTCATGGTGATCTGCTCCGTCATCTGGATCCCCATCATGTTTGTCATTAAGATGTACATCGCCCCTGGCACCTTTACCGAGGTAATAATTGAAGCGAAGCCGTGACGAGATGCTTTTGTTTTTGTCTCCATAAACACACACACACACACACACACACACACACACAGATCAATAGCCTCGTCTCTCGCTCATTAGCAGGGAGAGGCAGGCTGCTGGGTGAGTATTCATTCGGACATTTTTCGGCGAGTCTGACGGCTCTGTTTTAAATAGCCTACTCAGATTAATGGGTGATGAAGATCGTGGCTTTGTGTCCTAATGTCCCAGCTCCCTCAGCAGCGGCTCCGACAGCAGCCTCAGTCACCGACTATCCTCCAACTTAACGTTTTAATTGATCTCTGCTCGATGTAATAAATGCATAATTACCACAGTGTTTACTTTTAAATGCAGGAAAGATTTTATGGCATCCACCTTGATTTAATGCAAGTGGAGGGAGTATAGCGATAACTTCTGCTGCTTTCTTTAATAGAGGTTTTTATTGATTTTTTAGAAAAGGCATCAAATTAGTCTTAACATCTTCTCGGGGTCACTGGAGTCGACGTTACACATTATGAGGAACAAGCTCGACAATAAAAGAAAGAGTGGATCACAGACCGTGAGTGAAATATAAGCGGGGATATCAGCAGGTTATATATAAAGGGTAAATTATTACATTCAAGCACAAGAGTGTAGAAACCAAACGGTCCAATAATCATGAAGAAGCTGAGTTCAGTTCTTCCAATTTAAGGCTTTGATGCCCCCCAGTGGTGATTTGGAAAAATGCACTCCAGCAGAAAACAGTGCACGTCACTAAAAACAAGGTTTAAAACAATATGACGTAACTTTTTTACATTAAAAGAGTTTGATGATTCACTTACTGTGAAAATTGTGAATGTTTCCTCCCTCATTCCCCGAACGTCTGTTCTATGTAACTTTGGATATATATATTTGTTATAGCAACAGCTTTTCTGGTTCAGGAAGCCGGGGATGATGGGTAATATCCAGTTTTGTTTCAGTTCAGTGAGTGGGACGACGCAGTCATCTCGTTGATGGACTTTTCTTGCTTTACGTAAAAATCACTTCATCGCTCAGAGCCCAAGAGAGTTATTGACTATGTGAGGCTGCAGAGGGCGCTGTTGCTCAGTAAGAATTAGATAGTGTCCCTTTATCAACCATGCTGCTGTTTGATCTTCTGTGCCCGTGTAAACCTGCCGGTTGTTTCCTCTCCTCTTGCAGCGTCTGAAGCTGGTCTGCTCCCCTCAGCCGGACTGGGGTCCGTTCCTGATGAAGCACCGTGGAGAACGCTACAAGAACATGATCGACCCTCTGGGAACCAACTCCCTGGGCCTCAAACTGCCCCCAAAGGACTTCCAGCTCAGCTCCTACCAGTAGCAGCTGCTCCGCCAGCACCACACCCACCACTTCCAAACCCCTGCAGGGGACGTCTCCTCTCCTTCTCCCTCTTCCTCTCTGTCTCTCTCTTTTTCCCAATCGTACATCACCCTCTGCTTCCTGTCTTCCACTCAACGATGTGGCAGTGGGGACAGGCTCCTTTTCCTCCTCTTTGTCTTCTCCTTCGTCACTGCCTCTCTTCGTTCAGAGAGGAGTGGCTGCCCAGGTGGAGTCTGCTCCTCCGCTGCTGCTTCGTACTCGATTAATGGGCGATCATTGCCTCCCACACATGACCACTGATTACTCCAGAGCCCTTCCCAGGGATCTTTATTCCAAGAGAAAAATTGTGCAATAAAATGGCACAGCTCAGACTGCACTTGCAATATTAGTCTCACCATAGCTGCTCCCTATGGAGACGTGTGTGTTTGTGTGTGTGTGTGTGTGTGTGTGTGTGTGTGTG